GAAATTTTAAGGGGATGTTTCCTGAAAGTTCTGGCGGCCAGTCTTAATTTGTTTAGCTAAAAGCATATGCCGAAAAAACCGGTGCTGGTAGCAACAAAAACTACGGGGAACCGTGCAAAAAACGCATCTTCGCACGGGCAGCCCGTGCGTTGGCCAATTTTTTTTCTTCGTTTCATGTTTATTTTGGTTAATGCAGCATCGCCTGCTGGTCAGCCTTCTGGCGATTCTGACGTTTTCTTCGTTTCTTGAAAAGATTATCGGCTTTGTAGTTTTCTCGACAGAATCACTTCGGCTGGGTTTCAGCCTCTCGAAAATTCAACGGAGTGTTTTGAGGTTCACCATCTCGTCTCCGAGCTTTGCCACTTCCACAGGAATAACCACTTTATCTGGTTGGGGTGTCCTGCCGTCCTGGAGTAACAAAGGGATAACCATTTTACCTGGTTATTTTGATAGAGATATCCGAACATAAGATTCATGCGTTTGGCCTCCTTCATCAGACTGACAAGACTGGTGCTCTGGAAGACATTGCGTGATTGAATACACCAACCCCAGAATAAAACCCATCAAAATTTATTTCTACGCGACAAGCTAATACATGATGTGCAGCACAGTTACGATCGCACGAAGCCCGCCGTATAGTTATCTCGGGTGAAAGGAGCCATGGTATCTGGTACCGAGCGCTACATCCTCGACTCCTAATGCTACAGCTACGACCTCTATAGCGCCCTAGAGCCAACGGTCATCTTACAAGGAGGAAGCAACGACAAACCATTCGAGATACCATCGGGAAACGTCGGCGAATAGCAATTAGCAGGAGGACAAGCCAGTCGGCTGCAAAATTTCAAGAAGCACACCGGTTGTCTGATAGCCAGGATTTATAAATCTACTTGAAATCCAGAATGAATTTGGCCATTTTTGACCGAAGCAATAAGTTGGCTAGGCTTAATCAGTTTGGCTGCCCTGACCCAAAAACTAGAATAAGGCAGATCTTTAAATCTCAGCATAACGATAAACAACTATTAATACTGTTTTATATGGCACTGCAATCAAACTCAGACGTATTGGATACAAGTAAATTTTTTTATTCCATCAAATCCATTAATTAGAAAAGAAACAAAAAAAACCAAGATCTGCTATCGCTTCTGGGTCATGCAAGGATTTGTTCACGTGATAAAAATACGGACAAGTTCGCCTGAGATTCAGTGCGTATCTTTGCCACAGCGTTAAAATTCAGACAGCTTAATGCCTGAGAAGACTTAATCAGTTCTGAGCACTGCAACAGATTTGGGATTTTTCTCCCAAACTTAATATCCGTCAAAAAGTATAGACCCAAAGTTAACAAAACCGTGCATATATTTTTGACATTTCATAATGCCCGCTCAATCTGACGCTGCACTCGTCGCTCTCGAGCAGATGATAGAAACAGGAAAAGTACAAGTACTGTCGAAGAAATAAGCATCAGTAAGATCACCACAATTGTTACTTGATGTTTTTCTGAAAAAAAATGAAATTGCAGAAAATATTAGTTGTTAAACAGAAAAAAAAAAGCCTTTATGCACCTTCAAAATTGTCCATCCTTTTGATGATACATTGTTTCGGAAGCGC